TTCTTCTATGGTCTTCCTTATTCACTGTCCAGCTTACAAATGTTTTCAGGATGCTATATAGAACATTTTAAAATTGATATTTGGATGTTAATTTGTTGTTTTTTTTCTTGCTAAGTTTTCTAGGATTTGTTCTTGATAAATATATCAGTCACCCACTCCCATTTTCTCAAATGAACTAAAAGCAGAAAGTTTCTTAATTTTGTATTACCTGACTAGATAATATGAGCAAAAGTGGGCATTCTTGATTACTCTTTGATGTTTCCCTGCCCTCCTCCAACCCCTGTGAGAATACATTCAAGGAGAAGTTAAAATATATTACTACAAAGGCTTCAGTTCATACATGCAAAGGTTTATTCCACATAAAATATGTTCAAACTTGTCTCTGGGATCAGAGGATGGGTACAGACCATTTCTCTCAGTAGCACACTTGTCTTAGTTGCTGTAGGTTAATGCACTGAACTGCAAGGTCGGTTTGGACCACAAGGTCTGTTGTTTAAGCTCACCAGCCGCTCCTTGGAAACACTATATAGGGTCGCTATGAGTCAGAACCGATTCCACGGCACTTAACAACAACAACAGGTTCATTAGGATGCCTTCACAAAAAACTGACTTCTGAGGGAATCTGCTGTGCTAGTTAAATTCAAGGCAGAGAGTTTGACTCACAAGCTTATTACGACTATTTTGTGGGATCCCCAAGGAAGGGGTGATATTGATAGATTTTCTTAAAGGATTCCAGACGATCAAGGAAGCTTATTGTGAAGAAGTTTTAAGAAAATGGAAAACTTGCATTGGTCCAGGAAAGTTACACAGGAAGTTTTTTTTTTCACGACAACAATGCCTCTGCTCATTCTTCAAGTCTAGCATGGTCTGTCCTCTGAGAATTTCTTTAGAAAACTTTACCCTATGTACTCTACAACCCTGATCTTACCCCTTCAGATTTCTTTTAGTTCTCCAGGCTCAAAGATCATTTCAAAGGAACATGGTTTGAGGCCCTTGAGAATGACAAAATTAGTGTAAATTGAAGAGCATACAACTGTTCAGAGAAGAATTAGAGTGACAGAGCATATCCTTCAGAAGTGTGTAGAACTAGGTAGGAGATGTATTGAGAAACAGTAGCTTCACATTTAAGATAGCTTCATTTAATAAAGGTTTCCATGACTTTTTAGTAATGCTTTTTTACTTATTTGTGTGTGTGTATGTATATATATATACATACATGCACACAAATATATATCTATATATGTTGCTGTTAAGTGCTGTCAAGTCAGTTCCGACCCATAGCAACCCTGTTTAGGGTTTTCAAGAAGCGGCTGGTCAACTTGAACTGCGGACATTGTGCTTCAAATGATTTTGTAGTCCAGCAACGCATTAACCCACAGCGCCACACCAGGACTTATACCTACAAATAGTATCAGTTAGTATGAATTGTGTTTACAGTCTTTTCATATTTTCACAATGAATGTCTGTATAAGAATCCCAGGATTAATTTTAATTCAGTAATTTTAACTCAGAGAGCAAGTGTGCAAAGGTGCTATCTATGGAATTCTGCTTTAGTTGACAATACTGAATAAAAAGAGGTGATTTTTCATTCTCCTAGATCATTAACCTTATTAATATTTGTATTAATCATTAGGATACCAATGCTGATACCAAAATTAAGGGTCCAAAAGCATTTACAATAAAGGGATCAAAAATCGATGGAGAAAAAGTTGAAAAAGGCATTCGAGCTTCACATGTCAACTGCCTCCATGACAGTGGAACAAGTCACATCAAAACAGTGCCTTCAACAAGCCTCAAAGACTGCAACAATGGCAGCGTGGATCACACTAGGAATCCAGGCCTGGCCATTCCCCCACTTACGTACAATCTTTCGACTGTGGCTTCTGATGTTAATTCTGGAGTGGGAACGATCCCAGGATGTCAGAGTTACAGGTATGAATTAGGAAAAACAACAAAAAGAAAATAAAAATATACCTGCTCAAAATATATTTGCAAATTGCAAGTGTTTGTCAAGTCAGCCATATTGCTTTGCACTTAGACATGCTAAGTGTACGCTGTCCATTCCTGTCAGATGCTGCTGCAAATGATTTTCTGGCTTCTGCGATGAAAATTATTAGTGTAAAAAACAAAACAAAATGATTCACCTATATCTCCCAGAAATTAGAAATGATTTTCTGGCCTCTGTGATGAAAATTGCTAGCATAAAAAAAAAAAAAAGATTCACCTGAATCTTCTAGGAAATTAGGGCTGTATTTGAGGTAGGACAATATATAGCTATTTTGTCTAATAAGTAGAAGATTATCCTAATTAAACGATCATTGGTTTTGAGGTTCTACTGCTGCATAGCGTGGCTATGGACACTCAGCAAAACAGATAAGTACCTTTTGGGAATTTTGCTGAAATAGAGGTAACTTATTAGGTAAAGAGGAGTCCTTGGGTGGGGCAAATAGTTAATGTGCTTGACTTCCAGCCAAAAGGTTGGAGGTTTGAGTCCACCACAATGTATGTGTGAAGAAAGGCCCAGAGATCTATTGGCAAAAAAATCACCTATTGAAAATCCTAAGGAGTGCACTTCCAATCTGACACACATGGGGTCACTATTAGCTGGAATTGGTTTAAGGGGGTGGAGTAGGAGGCATGAGGGTAGTGGTGAAGGACAGAATGCTTCACCAGATCTGTGTGCATTGTATATTTGAGAATAGGCATTAAATTATAATTAGACTTCCTGGCACTTCATGATATGTCTTGATTTTGTGGTTGAAAACATAATTATTGCTGGTTCTAACTTCTTTCTTTCTTTTCTTTTTTTTTAAATTACAGAGTGGATGAGAAAACCAAGAAGTATTATATTCCATTTGTTAAACCAAGTAAACATTCCCCATCAGGCATTTTTAATATTAATGTGACCACATCAGTAAGTAAATTGTTCTCAGTGGTAGGAGAACAAGCGTTACTACATCATAGA